TTCAAAGTCCTTCCCTCAAGTGTACTAGAAGAAATATATTTTAAAGGGATCGTCCCAAGCATCACCTATTGCATCGCTAACTGGGGATCCTGCTCACCATCTACATTTAATGAATTAGAACATTTACACTTAAAAGCAGCCAAACTGATCCATAAACTGCCCAGCGAAACTCCTGACTCTGATGTTCTAGACCTTGTTAAATGGAAATCACTAAGCTATCTTTACCAGCGTAGGCTCGCTTCAATAATGTATCAGGTCCATCACAAAACGTTGCCTGATCAACTCACAGCCCTATTCGAAACACGCACCTCTGATAGTAATTATAACTTCAGGCGTATTAATACCTTTTCGCATGCACGTTACAATAGTAACTTTGGCAGAAATAGTGTAAGGTACAGAGGGCCCATCGTTTGGAATTTGATACCTAAACCCATAAAGGATGCTTCCTCCCAACAGCTTTTTAAACAAAAACTTAGGCAGGCCTCGAGGATTCTGGATCATATCCAATTCGAAAAGGAGGCCTGTGTAATAACATCAAAACAACCGGATTTTCTATATTTTTAAGTTCTTTTATATCAACGAGTAAGCTTTTTTTGTTAATTAGGATTTATATATATATATAAGTAGATTTAATTAGGCTCCTGGCAGGTCCACACCAGCCCTTAGGTTGCCACAAACCGACCTGCCTTGACAAAAATTATATGTATGTATGTATGTATGTATGTATGTACGCATCACTATAGAAAATAAACCGATCAATTGCGTTTCCAGTTCATCTTGTTTAGGAGTCAAACTTGATAACAAGCTTAATTGGTCTCCTCACATCAAAATGGTTAATTGGAACTTCCATGCAAAGATTTCTAAGCTAAAATAGATGAAGACCTTCAACTGATCCACTTTGGAAAATTTTTACTTCAAAGGTAACTTGCCAAGTGTTACGTATTGTATATCTTTGTGGAGATCTTTCAACTTGCCAGACGGATTTGCAACATCAACATATGTATCCCAAAGCATGAAGTTCTCAGCATGGCAAAATGGTGTAGAAGAGAAGTTAAGATTTGATGTTAAATGTTCTAAATCCAAAGCACTGCATGATTTTTTCACTCATCGTACTAGCATTGTTTGGAATTGCTTTTCTAGTCAGCTGAAGTCTAAGTCCAGGCTAGCATTAAGAAATTCTCTAAATGCATTGACCATATTAATTTGGCCACAAACTCTACTGCAACCAGTAATAGCAGTGACGAATTTGTGTATTATTGATTTGTAGTTTTTTACTAGTTACTGTACTTTGATTGGTCATCCTCTTATCTGCTAATGCATTGTCTAAGTAAACTTAATTGTTATCAATATATTTATTTTCACTTATCTATTTACTAATGTATTATTTATATTTATAAATATTTACAGTAGGATAGATTAATCGATATTTATTCATTTAGTGTTAAGTAGATGGCAGGTCCACATCAGCATTAGCAGCCATTTATTCACCCTGCTTTATTAAATGAAGGATGTGATGTATGTATGTATGTATGTATGTATGCATGTATGTATGTATGCATGTATGTATGTATGCATGTATGTATGTATGTGATGTATGTATGTATGTATGTATGTATGTATGCATGCATGCATGCATGCATGTATGTACTAAAGCCCGTACGTTCCAATCCTAAAAGGAGGGAGTTAGAGGTAGTGGTGAATTACCATCGGATCCCCCCAAAAAACTTTCCCGTAGAGAAAAACCTATCGAAGAAGCGTATGAGATAATGTGAACTGAAGTGTCAAAATTTGCATATTGACCACATTCAGGTTAAAAAATACAAACACCCTCTTGAAGAAAGCGAAACATTGCTCCATCATCCATGCCCGCAAAAACAAGAAAACTAAAAAATCCGAGATCGGCTAGTAGACGGTTGCCCGGGAACCGCTGCCCACTATGCAGGGATAAATTAATCAGTATTAAAGTTGGCGCCATTGTAAATGGTTTAAATGAACATATATAGGCTTGCTTTAACTGTTCTACAGAATTATCTTCGATAGTGTTGCAATTAGATTTGAATTATTACAGTAGAGTCTTAAACTACATGTAACTAACGTTATTATTATTATAAACAAAACCCCTGTCGAATAAAACTTCCTCAAAAATTTTGTGCTGCACGGTATTGAAGATATCAGGGGGAAATTTAAAGAAGTACCTTTGGGTGTTTATTCAGTAATTGGCGCGATTGTCGAGAACAGGTTCATTTGATCGGCTTAACTTTTCTGATTACCAGTGTGATCGGATAGAAATGTAAAATGCCGGAACTCTAGTAGTGCCTCTTAAAGCCTGGTTTTCACTAGCAACGCAAGCATAAACGCAAGCACAAGCGCAAGCATAATGCTCCGTTTTCACACAATGCAAGCGAACTCAAGCATAAGCGCAAGCACAAGAAAAAGGAAAAATTTTGATCCTTGTGCTTGCGCTTATGCTTGCGTTATGCTTGCGTCGCTAGTGAAAACCAGGCTTAAAAGAATTCGAAATAACCGAATAACAATAGAACCAAAAGGAGGAGACAGCAGAAAGCAAATCGCGATTTTTAAGAAGATTACGACATTCTTTAATCTAAAAGACATGTTTCGATGTTACGAACATCATCGTAAGTTCCAGACTATTTGGAAAACCGTTAGGACTATATAACAACTAGGCGAAACATACATAATTAATTATGATTAAGTGACAACAACTGATTACATATTTGAGTGAGTTACAAAATGTTTGAAAGAATAAAGCCTAAAGCGTAAGTGTCAGTGTCAGTAGCAGCCAAAAGGTTTTCTACGCCACCTCCTTTTTTAGTTATGCTTTCTTCCACTTCTTCATCTCCTCTACAGATAGGGTGTGGACAGCACTTCGACTCTTCCAAGACAAAACGCTGTTCGCTGTGAGCCATACTAGCGTTGCAAGAAAACTCCCTTGTTATATTTGATAAACTTGCTACACTTGCTACGCTTGCAACGCTTGCTACGCTTGCTAGGCTCGCTACCCTTGCTACGCTTGCTACGCTCGCTACGCTTGCTACACTTGCTACGCATGCTACGTTTGCTACGCTCGCTACCCTTGCTACGCTTGCTACGCTCGCTACGCTTGCTACACTTGCTACGCACGCTACGCTTGCTACGCTTGCTACATTTGCTACGCTTGCTACACTTGCTACGCTCGCTACCCTTGCTACGCTTGCTAGGCTCGCTACCCTTGCTACGCTTGCTACGCTTGCTACACTTGCTACGCATGCTACGTTTGCTACGCTCGCTACCCTTGCTACGCTTGCTACGCT